CTCTTCATTCTGGGACCAGGATCTACAGGACACGTTCCTCATTTCCTTCTCTCCCCCCCTCCCCCCTCCTCCCCCCGCCCCAGAAGGGAGTTTTTCCCCAGCCCCTCCCCTCTCTCCTCCAACTGCCCCATCCCAGAATCTCTCCCCCCTTTTCTGGTTTTGTCTCCCTTTCCTCCTCCTCCCCCTACTCCCATCTAAGACTGTGCTACAGGAGGGGCTATAGAGGAGACCCCGGGGTCCACACAGCCAAAGTATTAACACCCGGCCCTTGACAGAGAAAACATTTCTAGATCCCGGGCCAAGTCTACTCCTGACTAATTTCTAGGTAGAAGACAAAAAAATTGCTTCAGCATGAAAAATGCACTGTTCGGCTGGCGCCCCTGCCCGGAGTTGCGGGTCCCCTGACTCTGTTGGGCAGATGGAGCTCAAAGGCCCAGGGTGGGGGGTGGGGTGGGGGGTGGTAAGAGGGCCGCGCGGACCAGCTGTCCCCGGCCATGCCCCGCGCGAGGCCCCGCCCGCCCCGCCCCCGCCTTCATCCCGGGTCCCATCCGGAAGCAGCGGTAGAGTCCGAGGCAGCACCGGCGGACCAGAGCACACTTGCCTCTCACCATGAGTCTTGACCTCCGCTACCAGCAGCTGAGCAATGCCCGGTGGACAGAGCTCCTGCCTCTCATGCAGCAGTACCAGGTGGTCAGGCTGGTCGACTGTGGCATCACGGAGGGGCGCTGCAAGGACATGAGCTCTGCACTCAAGGACAACCCCGCCCTGACCGAGCTCAGCATCTCCTCCAACGAGCTGGGCGATGCCGGCACACACCTGGTGCTCCAGGGCCTGCAGCCCACCTGCAAGATCCAGAGCTCAGCCTCCAGAACTGCAACCTGTCGGAGGCGGGCTGCGGGGCCCTGTCCGGCGTGCTGCGCTCCCTGCCCTCCCTCCGCGAGCTGGACCTCAGCTACAACCAGCTGAGGGACGCGGGCCTGCAGCTGCTCTGCGAGGGGCTCCTGGACCCCCAGTGCCGCATCGAGAGGCTGCAGCTGGAGTACAGCAGCCTGACGGCCGCCAGCTGCGAGGCCCTGGCCTCGGTGCTCAGGGCCAAGCGGGAGTTGAAGGAGCTGGGGGTGAGCAACAATGACATCTGCGAGGCTGGCGGCCGGATGCTATGCCAGGGCCTGGCCGACTCCGCCTGCCCGCTGGAGTCACTCAGGCTGGAGGGCTGCGGCCTCACCGCGGCCAACTGTCAGGACCTGTGCGGCACCGTGGCCGCCAAGGCCTCGCTGAGCGAGCTGCAGCTGGGCAACATCAAGCTGGGGGACACAGGCATGGCGAAGCTGTGCCCTGGGCTGCTGAGCCCCAGCTCCAGGCTCAAGACCCTGTGGCTCTGGGAGTGTGATTTCATGGCCAGTGGCTGCAAAGACCTCTGCCGGGTGCTCAGAGCCAAGGAGAGCCTGAAGGAGCTCAGTGTGGCTGGCAAGGAAGTGGGGGACTAGGGCCGCTGTGTGAGAACCTGCAGGAGCCCAGCTGCCAGCTGGAGTCCCTGTGGATGAAGTCCTGCAGCCTCACAGCCGCCTGCTGCCCGCACGTCAGTTTCGATGCTGGCTCCGAACTGGAGGCTCCAGGAGCTGCAAATGAGCAACAACAAGCTGGGGGACGCGGGCATGGAGGTGCTGTGCCAGGGCCTGGGCCAGCCCGGCACCACCCTGCAGATGCTCTCACTGGTGGGCTGCGAGGTGACCGACCAGGGCTGCACTAGCCTGGCCGCCCTGCTGCTGGCCAACCACAGCCTGCTTGAGCTGGACCTCAGCAACAACTGCATGAGCGAGGTGGGCGTCATGAAGCTGGCCGAGAGCGCCCAGCAGCCAGCTGCCCCCTGGAGAAGCTGGTCCTGTACGACATCTACTGGAGGGAGGAGACAAAGGACCTTCGGTGGGCTGTGGAGCAGAAGAAGCCGAACCTGAAGATCATCTGCTGAGCCCCGGGCCCCTGCCCCTGCCCCGGCGCCCAAGGGGCTGGCCAGCTCTCGGGGCCACTCCTGGTGCCTTAGCCTTAACTGAAGGGAAATGCTCCAACCAGCTTCTGTAAACATTCTGGACACGTTATAATTATTAAAATGTTTTGGGTAGAAGGCAAAAAAAAATGCACTGTTACTAGCCTTTTGAGATTATCTGGCCTTTTTTCTTTTTCTCTTTTCAGAGGCAATGGTGTGTGTGTGTGTGTGTGTGTGTGTGTGTGTGTGTGTGTGATTGGGGTTGGGGCACGCATGTGTGGAGATGAACATAAGTACCCTCTTTCCAAAGCCAAAAAAATTCATTCAAGTTGCTAGACTTGTGGGAGGCAGGGAAGATATTGGGGGACACCAGGAGGGGCCGTGGGGTGAAGAGCAGAGCCAGACAGCAGGTGTTATGGACACTTGTGACTCACTCAGAAAACACTCAGTGAGAGTCCTTGGGAGACTGAGTGACAGGCCAAAGCCCTTTCTCTCTCTCAGGAGGCGACAGGACCATGGCAGCCGGCACAGGCTCCCGCCTGCCAGTGGATGGTCCAGTGGGCCCAGCACCCCCACACCCACCTGCTGCTCCCTTTCTGGGCCCCACAGACCACAATTGGGCCACTAGGTATATTTCTCCTAGAGTAACCTTCCCAAGGCACATTTCATACCATTCCCCACCTGTCCCTAAATGCTTTCTCTGGAACCTCCACTACCTTCTGACTCAGTTTGACACCAGTCAGCACATGAGCAACAGCCCCACTAGCAGTGACTCCAGGACTGGACTCTGGTCCCCATTCCCTTCACCTGAATTGTTCCTTCACATCTGCCTCCTGGGAAAACAACTCCGGATGCTCCCAGCCTGGAGGGTCCCCAACTTCTCCTGACAGCCAGCAAGGAATGCAACCTCGGTCCCACCACTGCAAGAAAAAGACTGTTGCCTGGACCCTCCAGAAAGGAGCCAGCCTGCAGACACCTGGATGTCAGCCCGGCCAGAGCCACGCTGGGCTTCCCACCTACAGACATGTGCAGTAAGGAATCTGTGTTGCATCAGGACATGAAATTTGTGGTTTTTATTACAGCAGCTTACAAAGCGAATACAATAAGGATTTTGTGAAAATGTGGTGGGTAAACGGTGGGGGTGAAAATCTAGAAGAAGCTCAGATGCAGAGTGAAGACCATTAACCAATTTATTTAACAAATGTAACCTGACCACCACCTGCCGGGTGGAGGGGAAACAGTGGTGAACAATCACAGTGATGGTGATGGAGTGGCTTTTCCCAGGACCCAGCAGTTACAGGAACTCCGGGAACATCAGCACATGCTCAGTGTGGAGTGTCCCTTTCCTGGAGATGGGGCCACAATGTGATAAAAATTCCACTGCAGTTCACCTGTCCCCTTTCCCCCAAATTCATGCCTCACACAGGAGCCTTAGGGATGAAGCTGGAGGGTTGGTTCAGCTTCATGATCACAGGTCACAAGCTGGTGAGGAGTTTGGCCTCTAGTCCCTTCTCAGCCCCGTGTGATGTGGTCACTGTGAGTTCATTCTGTGTACGACGTCATCATGGACAGCCAGCCAATGGAGAGTGGACCATGGCTGACAGTCCCCCTTGAAGGAACCAGGTGGGGTGTGGCCTTCATAGTCACCTACAGTGGCCTTCTCCCTGGGGCCCTGGGAAGGGAACCTCAGGCTGCCCATGACCCTGCCCAACAGGAACAACTGGCTGCAAAGGAACAGACTGGAGGTGGAGGGAGGGTCAGAGGTCAAACACCTCCCAGCAGCACTACTTTCTGCATGAATTATGTCACTTCCCTGGGCCCTGCCTCCCTTTCCACACTTTCCATGAGGCCACCTCACAGGGGTGTTGTGAGGATTGGGGAGTGAGATTCACCTGAAGCACTTAGCCCAGCACCCACCACCTTCTAAGTTAACTGTGAATTGAGCTGTGGTTGCAAGAAGGGAGCTGAGTCACCTTTGGAAAGTTAACTTCCTGCACCCGGGTCTCCTCATCTGTCATGTGGAAAAGTTGAAAGATAACTAGTAAAGTGCTTCACTCAGTGAGTTTTTAGTAAGTATGTTCCTGATGTAAATATGTTCCTGCTGTGAGGTTTGGCTGTGAAGCAGGCCCTCAGCTCAGGGCTGGGCAGCGGGAAGCAAAGACCTCTCTTCTGCCTGAGGGTCCTCATTGCCATTAGCTGAGCCTGAGGTCACTGGGGTCTCCAGGGAAGGGCCAGGCAGTGGCTCAGGCAGAAGGGAACTCCTCACTCCTTTTGGTGCTGGGCAAATGGTCAAGGCAGTGGGCTCCTCTGACAAAATCCAGAAAACTGGCCACAGAGGGCAAGAGAAGAGAGTCTGTGAGAAGGTGAAGATGTGCGATCCATTGATGGCATCATAGAATGAGACCTCCCCCCTCTCATAGTCCAGGAAAACCCCCACTCTTTTAGGAGGGTTGACTATTATGAGTTTGCTCCAGGGATCCGTTTGAGCTCGGAAGTCACTCCTATTTAAACGTGCTATTGTCCAGAATCCATTCTGGGGTGTTATTTTAACATAACGTTTTCTTTCCACGTTCTCCCTACACACCCCTAAATGCCACTGTTTCCTGTCCCCCACCTCCACCTCCCAGAAGTGTCTCCCTGAGGTGAAGCTCTCACGACCCAGCACACAGTAAAGATCCCGAAATCTCCTGGGGTTTTCTGGCAGGTTCTGCCTTTTTTTTATCCTCTTCAGGCTCCTCTGGTCCTCAGAAATATGGAGTTTGGGGTGCGCGGTTTCTGGATCCAGAATCACGTCCGCTGCAGAGAGTTCCAATGGTGTGGGGTCAGCCATGGTTTCCAGATCTGAGAGCCTCAGGCTCCAAGGCTTGGGTCTGGCTGGTGAGACCTGAGCCCAGAGCCTGGGGTCCCAGCTGCCCTGAGTGTGACCCTCAGCAAAACCAAGAGACACCACAGGGCCTGGTGGTCAGTGAGGAAGGGAGGGTGAGGAGGGCTGGGGTCTGCCTAACCCGCCATCTCAAGTGGCCACCTTCCTTCTATGTTTCTCCTGTTTCCTCCCCAGAATGACTGTGCCCACCTGTGCTGCAATGGCACATAGATTCCAATTTCAGCCCTTGCTTTACCCTCCTGAGCTGGACGACTTCCTTTCCTGCACGACCTCTTTTCACACACACACACACACACACACACACACACACACACACACACACTATGTAATGTCCAAGTCTCAATGTGATGTCTGTAAAATGGTAATAAAAATACTCATCTCCAGGGTAGAATAAAACAGAAAGTGAGCTGTATGTAGCCCAAGGCCAGGCATGGAGGAAGCATCTGGTGTGATCACAGGGACCAGGTCTCTGCTGTGCTGGGCCATGCTGGGCTCTATGTGATCCTCACTCCCCACCTGCCCCTCCCTCTTTGCCCAGGAATCGTCCTCCTTGGCAGCATCACTGGGCTCTCTTGCCTCTGGTCACCTGCTGGCTTTGGCCAAGGGCAGCACAGGCTGAAGACTGGAGGGAAGGAAAGAGAGGCACAGCCCCGACTTCCCCACTTCCTGTGATGGAGATGCTCTAACAGAGCAGCCTCCTCTCAGGCAGCCTCTCCCTGAGCCACAGCCTCCTCAGGGCTCCAGTGACTGCTCCCAGTCCCTCTGCCTTGGGCCTGGGGGTGGTGACAGCTCCCACTGCTGTGAGCCTGGGGCACTGCTCTTCCTTGTGGTTTCCCTTAACACCACCCCTGCCTCTGGAGGTAGGTCCTTCCCTAAACCCTCTGTAATCACTGGGCAGATGTGGCTGAATCAACCCAACTCCATCTCTGTGTCTCGGATTTCCTTCATCTCTTCATGCTGTGACCTTTGACCAACCTCCCTGTCCTCAGCAGGCACACCAAAGCCTTCAGGGTGATGATGATGTGTGTTCCTTAAAATGTAGCCATAAACAGTTCTGTTAGTAACACTAGAACGACATGATAAGGAGGTCAACACCAAATGTGATGGAACCGATTATAAAGAACCTGCCACCACAAGACCCCCAGGAGGTATGGCTGGTGCTGCCACACTGTTTGTCTCTTTGTCCTGACAACCATTAGTACCCAAGTTGCGTGTTAAAAAAGTACTGTAACAGGTCCATTAGTGGTGAATAGTCTGTGCAGATTGACACATAGTCTGTCTGCTCCAACCCCACATCCCTGTGAGTAAATGACTCTATAATACAGTCTGTTATAATCTAAGGAGTCGCCTGCATCACTTTTAGGTCTTAAGAACCTTCTCCTGACTGTGGTCTCACCGTCAGACACACACCCATTGTGAACAGGCCATGGCTTCCCTCTTGGAGTTTTGACCAGCACACACTCATCACCTCGTCTAGTCTCACTTCCACCCTCACAAGGTAGGAATGGCCACCATCATCTCAAAGGGACTCAGAGACATGGCACACCATGAGGAGGCTCAGGGCAGGAGGGGCAGCAGCTGGGCCAGGTCACCTCCTCCCTCTCCCTCCAGCCCCTGCCCCCAGCTCCACCCCTCATGCCTCCTCCTTCCCACACAGACCTGGGGAAGCCAGGGCAGCAGCTGTTCCTGGCTCTCTTAGCAGCAGATGGGCACACTGTGGGGACCTCATGTTACCCACCCAGAAGTTTCCCAGTCAAGAGCAGGAGAAGAAAAAGGGAGACACGCCCCTGTGTTGTTGTTGCAGGGAACACAGTCATTCACTCACCAGGTTGGTAAAGGGCCATCTTCCACTCTGAAAGGAAGGAGACACAGGCAAGGAAAGTTCATCATTTTTGTTCTCCCCCCACCATCCTCCTCACTGAGCCTCTTCCCTCTCCTTCCCACCAATATCTAGTTTCCTTCCGCCACAGCTCTGAGGAGGAGGCACAAAAGCACTCAGAATGTTGGGCTTCCCTCCATCACGGTGGGGCTGTGGGTGACGGGGCCAGGCTGTGCCCAGGTGTGGGCGTGTGTGGCAGCAGGTGAGGGGACGCTGGAGCTGGGAGGTCCTCTCTGGGTGTCCAGAGAGGCAGGGTGGTCCCCCACAGAACATGAGCTCTGAGCAGGGTCTGATGATCCCTCACAGCACGGAAAGGGTTTCAGGGCTTTGTACACAAGTGCAGGAACCAGAGAGCATGAGTCACTCACCAGCATAGGCCTGAGACCTGTCACCTGCAAAGGAAGAGAGGCAGGGTCACCTCAACTGTCATTTCTGAGTCCTTTCCTCCCTCTTCCCT